AGAACGCGTTGCACACACATTTAATGTGTTGAGCAAGACAGGCAAATTGCAGCGGCAGTGCATTAATGAATATTTGAATTGTTAATCGAGTGGGCACACTCCATACATAGAACACGGGCTGACTAGAAAACTCGTAAAACAGCGGTGGGGCACCAACGCATCTCTGAATCTTCAGCGAACTCGAAATATCAATGAATACTGAATTGGACAAATTTTCCGTGCAGCGCTTGCTGGGCTATGGGTGGCAAATTCAGCATGCCGCAAATATGAGCGTGGCCAGGCGTGACTACAGAATGACGCGAACGTCAAATATGTAAAGCTCGCACATGTGGAATGAAGATTTACAGAAGAATAAAAGAATCAAGTATGAAAGAGAGACGAAAATATTTAATAATACAAAAATAAAAGATTCTGCCTGGGCTCACCCGGTTGCTTGGTGGCAGAGGCACGAACGTCGGCTGCGCAACACAACACATTTCAGAGCAGCCATATTTTGAAATTATAGGAACAATTCATCATAATGTCATCGCATAATTCTATCAGGCGACATTCATATTACAGTTGCCACGATTGCTTTCATCGCCATGATGAAGTGCTTCATTATGGTGGTGTTGCTCAACACCACCAAAGCCGCCAGCATCGGCGCTGATCAGGCGCTTCAGCCCCGGCCCCAACAGCGACAATGCATCAACAATCACACACACAGTTATGCACAGTTGAACAAGCAAATCGCGCAAAAGATGTACACTTGCAACTGACGCAATGCCACTCCACCAAAACTTACAAAATGCTACTGAGAACGCCCGGCCATGCGTTATGCTGTCTTGGCAAAACTAGTACACGGGTTAGCACTTCCAGTACCTGCTTGTACCACAATTTTCCAAAAGTGTAATTGTCAGACCAACAGTCAGACTATGTGTAACGGACCAAGTTAAAATCATCACGAACTAAAAGTGCGCTAATTGTCAACGTGAGGTTCTATTGTTTTCCAAGTTGGACCAGCTTAGAAACAATTAGTTTCTAACAAGAGGCCCCGCGGCGCACCCCACTGCCTTCCTCCTCCTTGGGCGGTGGTGCGTTTTCGTCCGGGCTGGGGCCCGACTTGCCAGCCGGCTTCAACAGCTCATCGAAGGTGGACTCTGTGGCGGCTGTGCAAGTCTCGCACACAACCTGCACGACCCCAACAAACGCTGTGGAATGAAGACTTTCACGGTAAAGAGCAGCACAAGGATTCTTCATAGCACTGTGCTCTAGTGCTCCTTCCTGAAAGGCTGTCAATGAAATGACGCAACAAGCATCAACCACAAAAATGAACGCACTATTGCCGGGTTCATTTGAACTGTTGCTTAAGGCGAGGAGGGGCTAGCCGTCAGCATCTCACTTTACCCGAGCGAATCGGTGTGCATGATTTGTTCTCTGAATTTTAATGTGTAGCACAAAATCACAACTAATGTGTGACACAAATTCCGGAATCCATCAGTTCCAAACTTGCAAAAAGTGTCTGGAGGGAACTGTTGCCTCCATGGACGCCGTTGCTATGCAAAATTTCTTGATGATGATGCTTGTCGACGATAAAGCACTGTGAGAATACAAATTCACATTCACCATCACCATCACATCATCATTCCTTTTGCATGGCAAGGTAACGAGGGAGCCGTTAGCTTCCTACTCTGCCCGGGCGAGGCAGTGTCCATGATCTGTTCGTTGAAATGCACAGACAAAGTCCACAAAACTTTCAATTCCTGCTGTCAAGAAGCGTCAGTCGATGGTAGTACATGGAAAGAAATGTCCTCGCCAGTTGGGTAGCTGGCACTGAAGCCAAAATTTTTTGCACTGCGATTTCGAAGGAGACTCGATCGGCTGCGACGAGCGTCATCGCAGGAACGGCAGTTCAAGAGGGAATGTATGGATACATGGGGATATCGATACATGTATCGATACAGGAGATATCTCCCCTTCGGCCGCTGGGTGACATAATGGACAAACCGCCTCGAACATTCTGGAACAGATGGGTGTGCTTGTTGTCGTTGCCGCTAGACCGCTAGGGAGTGAACCAAAACCATTGAAACCGAAGCCAAAAAGAAACCAACAATAAAAACCCAAAAAGAACAATAAACAGCAAAAAACAACAAAAAGAACCCAACAAAAAAAACAACAATATGTATAATACGATGCATTCACGCCCACGCACCTCAGCGGGCGTCAGGCCCTCCTTGGACTCAATCTCCACGCTCGCCCCCGCGTCCAGTAGCTGTATGGCAACTTCCACGCTGCCCCACTCAGCGGCGTGGTGCAGGGGCGTCTCGTCCAAGTCGTCCAGAGCGTCGATCTCGGCGCCATTGGCGATCAGCAGGGCAGCGACTCTGCAGATGCGGGCGATTGGTCATACAGTCATCCATCCATCCATTCATCCATCCACTGATTCGTTAGCCATACCTCTCCGTCCCAGATTAATTGTCGTGTACTTGAAAGACAAAATTCGTCACACGGACTGCCTCAAAATTATCAAACAAGGTCAAAATCGAAGACTCGGTCCCACAGCCCTCAATTACCAATTTTGAAGAAGAAAAAGTTAGACACGGCCCATTTGAGTGTTAGGCGAAAGGTAAATTTTGGTCATTCCTGGCACCAAATATCGAGGTTCACTAGATAAAAAGACCCTTGATACAGAGTACTGCCAAATCCTCAGTACTTATGGATCGACTTGAAATACTCCAAACTTACAAGCACAACTCTTGGTGAAATTTCATAGAAAACTGCTGTCGGTAAGATGGAGAAATATGCCCCACAGTAATAGAAGATCATTGACCTGGGACGGAAGAAGTACATGATATTAGCCATATGGCACCATTAGTCATACAGCCAATCACGTGTCGACAAATAGTCAATCGGGGAACAATTTTTCAGATGAAATGAGGCCATAAATGATTGACAAGTGGGTGATAAATGAAGCGAACAAGAGAAGCCGCGGGAGGTCGAGGAAAGCTGAAAAGCTGGTGGCTCAGGATTGCATCCATGCCTTGATATGATATCCTCGCCTTTACAAAATATCAACCATTGAACAAGCAAAATATCGACTACAGTGCACACAAGCATCAAGCGCCGAGTCCACACATCAACAATGAGGGCCGCCAATCAATGAACTTAATGCACCTGGGCACACGCCCAAACACACCAATCATCCACGAGGGCAGCCAGGCAGCCCAAAGGCAGCAACAGCTGACCCCTGGACACCAAAAATTTCGGTGACATTCAATGTCATGCAACGCATTGGGGGTAAAGAGAGCTCCTACTTCTGGGCGTTGACAATGGCGGCATCATGCAGCGGCGTATCGCCAATGTCGTCCCGCGCGTCGACGGTGGCCCCCGCCTCAATGAGGGCCTCCGCGACGACGTGGTTGTCGAAGTTGGACGTGATGTGCAGCGCGGAGCCGCCGAAGGCGTTGCAGCACGCGTCCGCGCTGGCGCCCTTGGACAGGACCTTCATCACCGTCGCCCGGGTGGAGTCGTTGGCGGGGGTGTCCGCCAGGTCCAACAGGCTCTGCACGTCAACAGAATCAGCACATTATAGTATATTATATATTATATTATATAGTATATACTATTATAGTATTTATATACATTATAGCATATTATAGCCAGAACTGATCCAGCATTATCGGTGGCTGGACGCATGAAGAGGTGATGAGACAATGGGGACTGAATTGAGGACATTGATGAACGGGCCGGAAACGTAAGGGACGGAATTCCTGTTGTCCCTGCGCTCTGCTGTGAGCGGTTGCCGTGTACTCAAGCCTACGGTCACCAGTCGGGGTCGCATGCCTCGACCCTGCCTGCCTTCGTCAGTTTCACTCCATCATCTTCGCGTCATTACATTTTTGTTCAATTTCTATCGTTATCATGAGACGCAGAAAGAAGTTTCAAGGTTTGGGGCCTTTACGCTTCTGGTCGCCTTCCTGTTCGACGAGCAGCAGGGGTGTTTTCGGCGTTGCTGCAACGGGGGCCAATTTGGCGCCTAAGACATCCACTGTGTCCACACTTCATTGCGCGGAGTGGCTGTGAACCGCAGCGGTTTCCCATTCACCGTCCAGGAGACCCATTCATGAGATAATCGCCCTGACTACAGGCAGGCTTCCACTCTGTCCGGATTAGGGCTGACCTCAAGTTGGAGAAGCTTTGGGTTCCACCAAGAGCAACTCTGCACCCTTTCACAAACACGGGAAACGACATGGAAACAAAAACAAAAGAACGCAAGAAAATCATGAAAGGGAACGGCTGTGCCTTCTTCATCCAAAAACGCCGTTTCGAGGAAGGAATGGTCAACTAAGTACAACGAAGTACTGAGCCTTGTGTCGTACTTTCCAGCGATAGTGATCGAACCCACCTGGTCGAAGGCATTGGGTGGTGAGCGGATACGGGGTGGCGGTGGCGGCTCCTGCAACAAAAGGCCGCACGTGAATCATGTGCAGGCACATCAGCCCATCAATCCTAATAACATTGATGCCTGCATGCCATGACGAAAGAATTCAGGCGAGACACATTCCCCCCCAAAGCCAGGCAGCTAAAGTGTGACCGGCTCAGAAGGAGCGACTGACTGCACTTCGGCAGCGCAACTGTACAAGCGGGCAGGAAAGCACCATGGTGGCACGCTACTGTCAAAATCATGGCTGCACACGAACATTATCGTGGTGAAGTTAAAGAAGCAGCAGCGGTCAGCCTCATGGCTGTGCAACCTAAAGTACAGCAGGCGCCATGGAAGTAAAAATTGTCAAAAATGCAAAAAAACAGAAGCAGTGGCTGGCCTCATGGCATCAAAAGTGCTTTGGCCTCACCGCAGTCCCATTTTCTGCCCGTATTTCCCGAAGTTCCTCTTCTATGTGTGCTTTCTCTTCTTCCTTGTCGCTTTGCGGGGAGGTTTCCTGCAAATCCACAATGCTTGAGAATAAATCAACAAATCGACTCACAAATTGAGGGCAGTAGTCACGTTAATTGACGGTTAAGTGGCAATTCTTGAGCGCTGCATGCTCGGGCTTTACAACAATTGTTGCCCAGAATGCACACTAGTTCACTACGCAGCCAATTGCCATCCTGGCCACAATGGGCTATCAATTATCATGCAACACAAAACTACGAAAGGACAGAATTTATGTCCAAAGCAAAATATCGACCAGCAATTGCACAGAAACCGGCCAGAAGCTCACTGGAAGCAGGTCCCTCAGCCGCTTCTCGATGACTGCCGTGCAGGGTATGCTGCAGATGTTGTCCGCTGGCAGCTTCCCATCATTGTTCTTGATCGTCGCATTAGCCCCGTACCGCACAAGCAGCTCAGCCACCTTGGCCCGCCCGAAGGCCGCTGCCCTGTGCAGTGGCGTCTCACCAATGTCATCAATGGCATCGACATCCGCCCCCCCTTCCAGCAGCAAGATGGCAACATCCACAGCATTTGAGATTGCAGCGGAATGCAGTGGGGTGTCGCCGAGGCGATCTCGCACATCGACATTCGCCCCTGCGTCGATTAGGACAGCTGCCACGGGCTTGTTGTCTGCGGCTGCGGTCTCGTGGAGAGCGGAGCCGCCAAAGCCAGTGCAGCAGGCGTCCGGGCTGGCGCCGGCGTCGATGAGGGATTGGGCCTTCTCACCGGCGCCTTCAGCTTTGGAGGAGCCGGCTATCTTGAGGAGTTGCTGCGGGCACAAGGAAACTGGTAAAAGATTGCCCAGGTTCAAACACAATGGAAAATCGCAGACTTCAAAATGATCAATAGAAGCTGAGATATTGAGATTGCTATGTCAACATCATCATCATCATCACTGTGAACCCCCTGCCCATGCCTTGGCACCACATGTATTTTTCATGATCATAACAATACTATTGTCTAGTTAGACTAATGCTGCTACTATCTCCCTGCGCTGTTGGTGTGCTACACTACTTACAATTTACTCTTATCTTACAAATGGCGTATTATGTGAGGATCGTCACTGAGTTTGGTGCCGTTCTTCATCAGTGAAAAGGCGAAACAGGTTGTGAACCGGTGATGTTTAGTTCGTGATAACCAATTCATCCGTTCAAGTTAGCAATCACTTTTTGTTGTCATTCACTGATCGCCTGTTTATAATTCCGTCAAGGAAATGGCCACATACACTGCACACATGACACAACTCCAGGCAATCCTGAAAGTGTGCATTGCACACAGTTGACTTCTCAGGTCCAAGTCAGAGCTGCGACAACCAACAGGAGGGACAAACAAAAAAACACAATAAGCACAACACGAAACATGAAAAAGAACATTCACACAACTGACTGTACATGCATGTACTAACACATTCTTAATACATTCACATTACATTCTTATCTTTTATCATAATGCAATCGCATGCCAGTGGAAATTCGAGTTCTGCTCACCTGATCAAGGCTCTTTTCCTCTTCCTCTGGGTCTGCCTCCGCCTGCAAATAACCAAACCAGAGAAGCCATGTCAGGACACGCCTCAAACCGGCAACAAGTTGTCTTACTTATTATTGTTTTTTCAATTTTCATTTCACAAATTGAATAGTTGGTTTTATGTGTCCACCATATACAATTGCGATTCTTGGATAAATGAGCCAATGTCGTATGTGACCAACATGAAACAAAGGAACTAATGCAAACAATGGAGTTGTTCGTTTTGCAAAATCCCCACTTGTGGACGCAAAAACAACCACAGCTTGGTCTCCAGACACCCGGCCGCTGATGCAGAAACGACACATTGTTCCAAAGATTGGCACGCTCGCCAACACAAATCATTCGTGGTTCAGCTTTTAGGTTGCAGCTTTCTTTAAGAAAACTAACAATACTACAAACTCCAAACAACAAACCATCAACGACAAGCTACCACAAGATATTCAACCCTTCCCCATAGCAACGTAAAGATTGGCCTCCTTTTGCGAAGCCACATAAAAAATACAAATAAAGCTCTGGAAAGAATGTGGAGCAAAAAGCAGAACAGCAAAAACTTCTGATGCAGAAGAGTTGAACATTTTACAATTTAATACAAGCAAGTACTGTAAAGTACTGAACCTTATATCACTTTTCCCCAAAACAGACTTATAAGCAAGTGATGACCTTTTGTGGGTTTTATGACATCCCCAGGGGCCCCGCACCTCCCGCAGTGTGGCCGCAAACAGCCCCCACAGTTACATTCAGCCACGCTAAGCCAATTTCAGGTATTAGAAATTAGATATTTACAGATATTTTCAGGTATCCTATTGCAGGTTCAAGGGTTTAGGGCACATCTGGGCCCCGCACCTCCTGCGGCGCGGCCGCGAACAGCCCACGCAGCTCCTCCTCGTCGCCCGGCGGGCATGGCACCTCACAGATGAGATCCACCGCCTTCTCGCCCTCCAGGTTGAGAATCTCAGTGTCCGCGCCCGCAGCCAGCAGCAGCCTTGTGATCTCCACGTTGCCGAACTCAGCAGCATGGTGCAGCGGCGTCTCGCCAATGTCGTCCTGCGCGTTGAGGTCGGGCCCGGCGTCGATGATGAGCTTGGCCACCCGCACGGCGTCCCAGAAGGGCGCGATGTGGAGGGGGGTGTCCTGGGGGGGACATTGGCACATGTTCAGGGAAAGTCACACACAAAGTACTGGACCCTGTAATGCATGATTGCACTGAACATCAAATTGACAATGCGAACCCCCTTGCACACTCGCATAGACAGACCAAAGCGGGCCTCGAATTGCAAGAACGACGCATGAATACCGTTGTACATTGCTGCTGTATGTTGCAGACATGTCAGACTGCCACAGAATCTGTGCATTATATCAACACTCAAACTGACAACAACAACAACAGGCCAAACATCCTAACATCCTGATTCGATCGTTGGATAAATGATAAACTAAATTATTGACAGCGCTTTACTAATGTGTTCGTACACTGGCCATAATACGATCACATATCACAAAGATGCACGACTATCACAAGCAGAAACCGAAATTAGTGCACTGCCAACTGCGATGCCATTCGACACTAATTGATGATATCACACCCACTTTTGTGCCATCGCCATGAATGTGATGGCGCCACTTTCTGTCATAATGGCGTCACAGTTGGCATCACAAACATGGTGTTTGTTTTTTTTCTGATGGTGTGTATAGCAAACCTCCAGTTTGTCGACCGCGTTGAGATCCGCGCCGGCTTCAATGAGCGCTGCCGCCACGCCGTCGTTGTCGTGCCGGACAGTCACATGCAGCGCACTGCCATCGAACTCGCCGCAGCAGGCGTTAGGGTTGGCGCCCTTGGCGATGAGATCGGTGGCCATGGCGTTGCCCGTGTCGTTGGGCTCCGACATGGCCAGCGCCAAGAGCATCTGCAACGGACCCGTTTGATTTCATCAGCTGCTGAATCAATCATTCAATTAGAAAGCTGACGGCTACCTCACTGCCTTGTTATGTGAAAATAGCGGTGATGAATCAACCATTGGCCGCTGAACTGTGAGACAAAGTGGATGTTCATTTAGAACCAATGGCAATGGAAGGCTCAAACTGGCTATTACGTTAGGAACAACGGCTGCTTAACTACAACAATTGGACTATTTAATTAGCACTGATGGATATTTACCCATCACATTTGGCTATTTAATTAGTACCCGCAACTTGCGTACCTGTTAGTGGCGGGGTGTGCATCTGGGATTGGTTTCTGGTGGCTTGCGCACCCTAAAGCATGAAACCAAGATATACAGATGCTAATAGAACTACTAAAGCTACTAAATATACACACGCTACTACAACTAGAGCTGCTAAAGCCACTCGAACTTCTGAGCGTGGCCAACACAACAAAAACACTGCAGCCTTTGAAAGCTGCAAGGCCTGTGGCAAAATAACGGATAAACCACTGCTACACTACCCACGAGCAGAAAACTTCCATGAAGAGATTGTTGCGTTGATGCATCGTCCACAACAGATCTCAAGACCGTGCATGCCGCAGCGCTGGGCGTGTGGCTGAATGGGAATGCTAATACACAATCATACATAGTAATACTTGATATGTGACGGGGAGTGGCCACAACAATTATCTCATTCAACTTCACCACGGACTTCCCATTAATTTTTAAAACAATAACGGTTTATGAACAATTACACGGCGCACACATGAGAATCGCATTATCAGGTAAATCCACAGCAGGCAGGTAGTTCAGAGCCGGCCACGGCGTTGCTATCACAAAACCGTCGCAAAGAAAAGAACACGTCACACCGGCGCATCCCCTGGCATAACGCTGACGTCAAGTGGGCGTAATGCTAACGTAACGCTGATGCAACGCTGGCGTAACGCTTTTTTTACCAAGTCCAGCTCCGATGGGGGGCCGCTTGGGGCTTGTGGTGCAGGGCTGCTTCGTGTTGGCACCTTAGGGGCAGTCGGCGTTGGCGGCGCAGGGGCAGCCTGGCCACAACACTGTTGCTCAGGCAGTGGAAAAAACACAGGAAGTGCTTTTCAAAAATGCAAAAGCAAAACAAAAGCAGAAAAAAGACAGGACAAAATGGCGGATACAAACTACACGGGCAGGTAAAAGATAGGACGACTGGCAGAAATGTAACATACAAAGAAGGTGGCAGCTGTAACAGCACACGGCCGCAAGCGTCAGATGACGAGAACTGCGTTTGACGAGTAGAACGCCAAAAGCTGCTGCATTGTGAGTGCTGCCAATTCACCCACTGTGAGGTGCAGGATCGCAGGGCCAGCGAATAAATATTCAATCCACCGGCATAGGAATGCTATGCTTGCCCTTCTTTCGCAGAGCAAAATTAATAAATGGTAATGCAACGCCTTTTTTTTGTCAGAACAACATAAAAATTGTGAGTGCTGCCGGTTCAGCCGCTGCGAGGCGCAGGATCACAGGGGCGGCGAATAAATATCCAATCCTTCTGCATGGCAATGTAACGCTTGCCCTTCTTTCGCAGAGCAAAATTAATGAATGGTAACGCAACGCTTTCTTTTTGCAGAACAACATAAAAATAGAAAAATAACGGTCGGAAGAAATGCGTAACAAGAGCACGACGAAACATCTTTCCAAGGCGGAAGGGTTGAACATTTACGGGGACTTGGCCATTGAAAGCTTAGCGTACATGACAGCTCATCCAGGCATTGCAACGACTGCAATGTTCGCATGTCCTAAATCCACAGACACATCTCAACCAACTGGACAAAACTGTATGAATATACGGAAAAACATGATAAGAAGTAAAATGCAACAAATTAAAAAATGCACAAAATCTCATCAAGTTTAGGTCAACCGCCAATAGGGAAGAACCGGACTCTCAAACCTGACTAAGTACCAACACGCAATGCAACCGTTGCACACACAATGCAACCGTTAAATACCAACAAATACCATTAAATACGATACAATAGATGGTATTTAATGGTACTCACGAAGGCACGCAGCGTCGAGGGGTGGCGACCCCTGACTGGGGACTGTGGGCCCAAGTACACGGCAATGGTCTACAGCAGCGCAAAGGGTCGAGTGGAACTCTGTCCCTCATGTCCAGTTCGCTCATCAGCGTCCTTAACTCAGTTCCCATTGTCTCATCACCTCTCAATGCGTCCAACGATTAGCAATACCCAATCCGTTTTGATTCCAACAGCGCTCAGGCATAGTTGTGCTTGATGGTATGTAATGTATTAATGGTACACAATGGTGCAAGTGGCATCTAAATACCAGTTCCACTGGCGGAGAGCACCATAGTTATGATGCCAACTGCGATGCCATTTTGACACTAAGTTGCTCCAACACAGTGATTGCGACGACATAAAAGCAGCTGTGATGGCATCAGTTAGCGTCAAATGGCATCGCAGTTGGCATCGCAGTAGTGCCATTTTCTGTTGGTGTCCGGAGCAAAACCAGCCCCACCTCAGCGAAGAGCTTCTCCAGCCCCAGCCGGATATCCTCCGGGCACTCCACCTCGCATATCAGGTCCTCGGCCGTCTCCCCCTCTGAGTTCTTTATGTCCACATCGGCGCCCTTCTCCACCATCAGGGTGGCGATCTCCAGCTTGCCGAACTCCGACGCGTGGTGCAGCGGCGTCTCACCAATATCATCCAAAGCGTCCAAGTCGCCCCCGCTGTTGATGACCTCAAACGAGATTCAAGCTCGTTGGTGAGTTGACTATGAAGATTGGCTAAAGATTATGTTAGTGGAATATGGAGATAAGTTAATAAGGTTAGTAAGATTAGTTAAAAATTGTTAATTGTTATCTGTTATTCATTTAGCCATGAAGATCGACCGCTGCAATAACAAAGCGAATATAATTTGTTGGTTAATTCACAACAGCAGCGAGTTGCTTCTTCTTTAGGGGCAAAAATTATAACACAAAGGTAAAGAAGACAACAAACATACCAAGCAATAATAGCTTCATCATTTTTACCTTCATCTTTATCTTTGTATAATGGCTTTCCTCTTGGGGCAAATGGGGCACAATGCTCAGCACTTCACAGTACTCGCTTGCACCACTTTGGTGATTTCATTACAGCAGACCTGTTAAACGGCTTATCTCGACCAGTGCCTGGGTTAAAGGCCACCAGGCCTTGAACCGCTTTAGGTTCTTAACCATTATAGGACCTAGCCATTTTAGGGCGGCAACTCACCAGCTTTGCAACCCTCGTCGCGTTCCAGAACGACACAATGTGCAGCACCGTATCCCCCAGGTCGTCCACGGCATTGACGTCGGCGCCATTGGAGATGAGGACTTCCGCCACGATGTCGTTGTCATGACTGGAGGCGCCAGAAAGGGCAACAACACGGGTCACTGACCATTACTAAATCAACGCAATCAATATCAATGCATTAGGGTTTAAATCAATGCAATAGATCAATGTAATCAATATAAATTATAGTTAAGCTAATATGTATTAATGTATTGGGGTCTAAATGGCGAATATTGATGTATTGGGATCTGCAAGGCGTTTCCAAAGGCGCAAGTAAATAACACACGCCTGCACCAAAGGGGGGCGAGCGACCACGCCCCTGTGATGAAGAGGCCATGCACAACACATGTGCCGTCATCAAAATAGAGAATAAATAAAATTGGATGGGCAAAGTTCAGAAAAATGAAGAATTCAACGTGTAATACCGAAGGAAACATGGAGGACACACGCCCACAAGACGCCGCAAAACCTGCGCGCACGGTGCCGGAGTAGGTGAAAAGTTGACACCAAAATGCGGCAAAACTGCACCATTCCGCCCCCACTCAACAAACAAATTGTTCCCATGCACCGCAGGACCATTCAGCAATACAGCACAGAGTTACATCATCTAGGCACTGACTGCCTACATGCGGCCAGGGGTTGGACAAAATGAGCCATGCACAGCCAGATAATATTGGGATAGATGTGATGTTTCACGACCAGTAGTTTGCTGCTGTGCCCGCTTTGTACAAAGAATCCCATCCTTCCGCCGGCGTTCTACTGCTGTACACCCTTCGCCCGATTGAGCGCTAGTCTGCAGCCAGTACTTTAGTGCTGATCCAACTTCGCCCAAGTCAGTGCAGTTCTTCAGCCAGCAGTCCAGTGCTGTGCCCCCTTGGCCCATGAGAGCGCCATTCTTCACCCAGTACTTTATCACTCTGCCCGGTGGCTCCAAAAGAATGCCGTTGTTCAGCCAGTAGTTTAGTGCCGTACCTGACGGTTGCGTGCAAGGCGGTGCCCCCGAATTGGGTGCAGCAGGAATTTGGGCTGGCACCTGCCGTCAGCAGTCGCTCGGCTTCCACCTTGCTCGTATCGCTGGGCACCTCCATGGCGACCGCAATGAGCTCCTGAAAAGCGACAAACACGCTTAAGTAGTACATAAAAAGTACTGGGAATTTGCGCCCAGGTACTGGCGGTACATAAAGAACGGTGAGGTGTGCTGTCGCGGGGGCGATGGTGGTTTAAGCACTGGCAGTACTTAGTGGATGGTGACAAGGACGCGACATACGCCTAAGTGCTGGCAGCACTCAATGAACGGAGAGGTTTGTGGTCGTGGGGGCAGTCGTGGTTTAAGCACTGGCTGTACTTGATGGATGGCGAGAAGGACAGACGTCTAAACTTGTCCATGCTTATACCTTAAAGCCTAAACTACAACTGCGTATAAACTATCTAGACAGATGGCAAAATGAAAGGGAAAGGGGCGAGCCAACGCAAAGTGTAAAGTAACGTGGGCACTCACCAAATCCAGGGGGTCTTCGGAGGACACCGGCGCCTATGGAAACAACAAATTTGATTTAGCTAACTTGGAATACATTAACCAATTAACAAATGGCCTCAGTTAATTTGCAATTACGATTCGAGTCGGATTAAGCCAATCTTGCTGCGCAAGACAAGGCAACGGTGAGCTTTCAAGCAGCGCAACATACAACACGCACATGAACCGGCACAGTACTTCATGAACACACGAGACTTCGTCCCAGAACAGTACATTGCGGCATAAGTACTCGGCTTGCTACTTTGGCCACACAAACACCACCTCATCTGCCCGCTAACACGAAAGCACCAACAACGGCAAGCTCACACCGCAATTCTAGTCTCTCTTGCTAAATGACTTCTACATATCTATACAACCATCTACAACCGTATTCACGCCGCTGTTTTTACACAGCATTATCTGTACAACCTTTTAATGTGCTTTTGTCGAACCCCATTATGCTTCGTTCTTCACAATTTGCTTTTGTTTTCAATCTTATCTGTTCATCCTTCTATTGTTGTATTTCATCTATTGTGTCATTCCAAACTGGCTGTCTGTTCATTGCAGGAGCGGAAAGCGGGGCTCACCACTGGCGTCTCGGACGGAGCTGCCTGTCCACACAACAAAAAGAAATTAGGAAAGGTTCTAATTCAAAACGAATTTCCAAAATTGAAAATTGAATTGAAATTTAATTGAACACCAACGAACGCAACTGGAAGAGCAAACGACAAAAAGTAGGAAGGGAGGACAAGGCACCGAACCGGAGATGCCATGAGAACATGCACAAATGCACAAGAGCGACTCGCAAGAACGCCCAATCATGCCGGTCCACCGATTAAACGACGTCTTAACGCCATCAAAACCTAATTTTGTGTTGTACTTAACAAAGACAAGGGGAAAGCAAGCCAACACCTAAAAATTGGATGGGAAACAAAAGCGGCGAAATTTTGCTTCGGCTCCTAGCAAACACCCTGCACTGACGATAGATGATGCGGAAGAGGGACCCCCACCACCCCCACCGCCGATTCAAGTGAGTGGGTGAGCACAAGAGAAGTCGACGGCAAAGCACTATTGTTCAAGTGATTTGTGTCGCAATTCGAACGGAAAAACGATCGCCTTGCCTCCCAACAAGTTTGCTCTTTTCACCAAGCACAGGCGCAGACATGGGGCGATTAAGCGGGAAAAATGGACTGGCGACCCCGTTTCAGGGAAGGAATGGTCAACAAAGCACTATGAAACACTGAGCCTTGTGCCATACTTTCCAGCAATAGTGTTCGAAATCCATGCGAAATCAACGGAACACAAACGCCGTTTCATGCGAAGCGAGACCAAGCGCCAAGCACTTTGGTCTGGACCTGCTCAAGCGGGCGCTTGCTTTCATGGCCGCATCAAAAACAAAATTACCTGCATGCCTTTACATGACAGAAAATGAAAGGAAATGATCTGCATGCATTTAAATGATAGAAAATGAAAAGAAATGGCCTACATGCCTTGCTGGCAGGAAAAGGGGCAGAGGAAAGGCCAAAAATGAGACAGAAACAAGGGCACAAAATTGGCCAGAAAACTTCTTCTTGTCTTTGGTGGGAAGCGGAACGTCAGTGTGAAAATCAATGTAAGATCGAATGGAACAATCTGAGGAGCAAATGAAAGGATTCAACTAGATTGATAACATACCAAGAACACAGCAATAATCGAGACAACACAAGACAACATCCATCTCGTGTTACTTACTGATCAATCACACAAGGCAGATATTAACGAAAAGTACAACACAACGCGAGGGAGCTCACCTTGGACAACAAGCCCTGTATCTTCTTCTCGGCCCCCCTTGGGCAGGTCTTCCTGCACAGCACGTCCGTTGGCTTGTCTCCGTCGCTGTTCTGCACATCTAGCTCGCCTGACTCCGCCAGCAGCAGCAGGCGGATGACCTTGACGGCGCCCACCTCGAATGCCAGGTGCATGGGCGTGTTGCCAGCATTGTTCTGGGCGTCCACGCTTGCACTGGCTTCCAAGAGCACTTCCAGGGCCTGGGGGTGGGGGGCACATGGGCCGTTCTGTCAGGGAGTGGAGGGAGCAAGGATCTCGCAAAATCGCGAACCACAGGATGTCAAAAAACGGATGCCTGATCCCACAAATCGCGGTGATTCTCTCCGTGAGATTTCACTCTCACTGCGAATCACTGTCCAAAAAGGGCTCTCTTGGGGAGAAGAGCCACAAGGCTTGACAAAGCAAAATTGTACTTTACGGTTGGTTGTGCTGTTTCGTTCTGAAATAGTGCGTGTCGAGTGCGCGCCATGCGCAATCGTTTCCTGCTCATGAGCAGAAGAGCCCTTTGGGCTTGGTGCGGGCTTGGCAGCAAGTGCTTGAAGGCTGCTTATGTGGTTGGCACTACATTCCTGTGTTGATTCTGGCCGTGTAAAGGATGTTCATGGCGCGGTGGCAACATGGTCTGGGACAAAATACACAGGGCAATATCCAGGGCTGAACACCAGATTGCCATTGCTGCTGGCCAATGACTGCCAAGAATTTAAGCTCTGAGGGGCACTTCCTGATATGGTAGGGAAGGGGGCGGCCTGCCAGCCACGCAGCTGTTCATGGCTGCCATCATTTTTTGTCTGTCATCATGTGTGCACTTACCACAATTCAATGTTATCATCAATTCTTCAGCATCTGGCACCCACTAGTGCTGTCCATTATCTATCAGACCTATCACGTATCCTCATTTTCTCATCATGCAACTGCACACACTGGCTCCACGTGCCAGATTAAAATTCAACAGTTGCACACCCAAATAACAAACAACAACATGAGGCAAAGAAGATAAAATGAGGTGATGTGCTGCGCTGACGAAGTGGGACAAAACAGATGAAGATTCCATTGCTGACCTGGTCAGCTGCAGCCGCAGCAGCCACATGCATAGGCCTGTCCCCCACAGAGTTTTCCACCTCCTTGTCTGCCCCCGCCACGATGAGCGCGAACACGACATTGTGGTTATCCTTCATGGCTGCGATGTGCAGCGGGCTGTTGCCGAAGATGTCGCAGCAGGTGCTGGCGTTGGCGCCGTCTCTCAGAAGGTCCGCAACGCGCTTGCGCTGCGACCCATCTGTCAAGCCCACGGCCTCAAACAGTTCCTGCGGGTGGGGAAGGTGCACGTGGGTGAGAGGTGTCCACGGGTCGGTGGGTAATGTTTGTTACAAAGAGAGAAAGAAACAGGTCACACACACCAGCAGAAATCGATTTTCTTGCGATGCCAACTGCGATGGCATTTCACACTAATTTATGGCATCGTAGCCACTCTTGTGCCATCGCAATGACTGTGATGGCACCGCTTCGTGTCAAAATGGCATCGCAGACGGCATCGCAAAAATGGTGTTTTCTGATAGTGACAAAGGGGACCGCCTCCTGAGCAAGTGCATGGGCTGGTGGGCCAAAGATGCACTGGTGAGATCCATGGGCACAGGGTCATTGCTTAAATAGGCCTGTGGCTCCTGTGGACAACGGAATCTGTGAGTGGATGAATCAGAAGCAAGTGAATGCATTGGTCAATCCAAGGTTGAACTGGCAGGATATATGTTCATCAATTGCCAACTCCTCTTGGGCAGCTTCTGAGCAACATTTCTTTGCGGAAAACTGTACTTTCATTTTCGACCACTGTGTGGGCACTCTGGCTGTGCAGAAATGTACGCATAATGGCACGGCAAACTGGGCAATCACTGCCCTGAAGGTGGTGCCTGCTGTGCCATGTGTTTCTTCTGCAAATAGAATAAATTTCCAGTCGAAAGACAGATGGCTGGTGCCAACATCTTGTGGCACCATTTCCGTGGTTACAAATGGACTTTGTGTACAACTGTGTTTTGGGAAGAGAAAGAAGTAGAAGGAAGCAGAGCTAGACAGACTGTGTTCATCAGGAACATGCTAACACTTGCTGGATGCAGCTGTGGCCACATCGTTCCCAAGGTGCAGAAGCAGGAATCCAGAAGGTGCCGTGGACACATGCATCCAACGAAATCGAGCCAGCCTATCTGAAGACAGCAGGAAGGAAGGAGAAAGTGCCCAAAGAATAAGATCTTGTTCTTGTTTCCAGAGAAACAATGTCTTCTGTGTTTTCTGGTTCTTGTTTAACAACTTGTTACACCACTATTGGAAATAGTGGTGCAAGGATTTGTACTTAGTATTACTGTTGTGTACCACTTTTAGTTCGTAAAGATCTTGTTACTAACAAGGGAAGCCATTGTCAGGTGCTCATGCTATTTTGTGCTGTTGGCTTGCTCATTCTTTCCCTTTCTGCCTCTGCAGACTGCCACACTTGTTTACAGACTGCCTATGTGGACAACGCTGACCCTGTTCAAAGGGATTGTTTTGGACCCTGTGGACCAACATGGATTCCCACTGGATCAGGATGGGGACACATCAACTTCTGTTTTTTCAATGCGTTATATTCACAAAGCATCCTGGTGTTGATGAAACCCCTTCTATTCCAAAGCCAGTGCATCGCATTTAGGATGATTGAAATTGTTGTGTTGTTCAAGAAGAACAGCTACAACAACACATGCATGCAGCAGTGCATTTGCACAGGATTCAATGGCTGCAGCTGATGTCAGCAAACTCACCTCATCTAGGCTTTCCTGACTCTGTTGCACATGGAGAAAGGGCACACAACACACAGTAACTTCAATTCAAGATTTGCTATGGCTTTCATTATCAAAAATATCAGCAAGTATTTGATTAACAAATACTTGTTACAGTAATGAAAGAGCGGCTATTCATTCTTGTGCTTCACAATGGGTCCATCTGCTAGATGTAGGTAGAAACTTGGCCAGTCAATTGAAAAGGCTGCATGGACCAATTGCACAAATCTATTAATTGCAAATCGTGTTTTGATCCAGACCACCATCATGAATGCAAAATCAAACCATTTGCAGTGCCAATAGCAGTGAAGGCGGCTTGCTTCATCCCATTTTCTATTTCAGGCTGCAAGGGATAGGGAAACCTACATCGGCTCCTGCCGGAAAAGGAGCCCATTGTGCTTTACGGTTTGCAGGGGAGCCTCTTGCTTGGATCAGATTGTATTACGTTGGAAATCCAAAAACAGGGTTGAGATAGGGTGGGTCAGTATTGTGAGCCCCCCTAGCATCAGCAGCGGACATCTACCAGCAGATGGGAAGAAATAAGAAGCAAGTGGAATGCAAAAAGTGGAGCTCAACACAGGAAAGAACGTTACAGAATACAGAACAGAGAAAACTCTTTGTGCAATTCCCACTTACTGCATCCCATTCAATGCGATGCAGATCTGTAGATTACAAAAAAAAAACAAAGAGAAACCACAGGCACCTGTCTCAGACTCCTCCTCAAACTGTTGATCTCACTGCCCTGGAGACTCTCTGCAGCAACTGTGCACAGAAAACATCCCATGAAAACACCAATCATTAAAAAAAAATACAGATATAGAAACTGAATTTTAAGCGAACAACAAACAGAACTGGAAGGCTTCATAGAACAAACGCAGTACAGTGATGCCAGGCCACCAGCCACCCATGGCATATGTGCCACCAGCACAACTGGGCACCAGTGTATCGAACGACTGTAGCGAGGGTCATTTCCAGCCTTTGATGGCAACTGGCAGGAATAGCCCAGTAGCTGGGGAGATACTCCCACGTGCAGCTGTCAGGAAAACGTTTGTGGACACGTAACTGGCCACAAACATCTGCAAGCTGCAAGAGCCCCACTTTGTCTTTTGATACCAAAAGTAAACAAAGGCATTCAGCTTACACATGCAGCTATTGCAGATCACAGGCAACTTCTCCTTTATCCCCCACCCACCTACCCATGATACTTTATTACATAATATTATAATATTATAGGTGTTCCTTATGACAACAAGCAGCACAGTGAGCTGTGAAGTGCAATGCTCGTCATGGGGGCTGCTTGGCAGCAAAATGGGCAGCGGCGTTGGTGGTGGGCTTGCAGTATCTGATGGGCCGAGTGTGCTGAGCCACTTTGTCTGATGAGCTGCTGCATGTGGCTACAGCGCACCAACAGGCCCCGAGCTTTGTGCGCACCCTGCCAGTGCGAGCGGATTGGCACCCCAAAGATGGCTGCAGTGCTCATTCATCCATGCCAAAGACTGGGTCCAAAAGTGCAAACGGCCGGGCACCCTGCCCTCCATCGCATTGCGCACAGAATTGCAAGGCCAAAGAACTTGAAGATGACATTGCCAACACTGAACACAGGCTTAGCATATGTTTACTACATGCAACCACAGGGCATTGCTTGCAGACGGAATTGCGAGGTGAAATTTTAGGAGACAGCATGTGTAGATGCTGCCCCAGGATGGCAAGAGGCGTATTAATGCAAAATACTCAACTCTTCCACCTCAGAAAATTTCACCGTTGGTATTTTGCTCCACATTCTGCAACAGACTGTTAATGTGGAGGCTCCTCATCATGGTAACCACTGGAATGGTGGCTCAACTCAGTTCTCGTGGCCTCAAAAGTCTGTTTCCCACCACAGTGACCCATGCATCTGGGGCTGCTGGATGCCTCGAGCAGTCCAGAGGCCCTCGCGTTGCGGCTGGGGCTGCTCCACAGATTCTTGGCACCATTGCGTTTTTACTATTGCTCCACATAACAAGGCCAAGTGTTATGTTACTGTTACTGTGCAGATGGGTTGAATATTTTGCAGTATATAGCCCTGGACTCTGCGTCTGGGCCCAAGCGTCCCTTGGGGCATCCCAGTTTTGGTTCCCACACCCTTCCAAGGGCCTTCCTGAACAATACATTGTTGCATGGTGAAAATAGAGCGGGATGAGCTTGAATGAAATCGAGAGTCTGGTAGCAGCCACTCCAGCACAGAGTTTATGATCTAATCGTAAGTTTACACATGTGGATGCTTGCATGCTGCAACAACCAATGTTGATCCATGGGCTCTTCAGCTGTTTGCTTTGGAGTTAGGGTATGTATATAGCGCGCAACATTGGCGACAAAGTCTGCAGCACTCTTTGTTACCCTCCCAGCACTTGCAACCGCTCTGCACAATCTGGATCATCGGGTCAAAGTCCACATCCGTATATTTAAATAGTTGCAACGTAGTTACATCCTGTCAAATACACCAGCAACTTGAATTATTTCACCAATCGCTACGTTGACATGCAAGAGGAACGAGGTTCCGGGACTACGAAAACAAAATTCCAAAATGACATGGTGCAGCAGGTCTTTGCTGCGGACATTGCCACAAATGCAGTCCACAGGAATTAATTGCAATCATATGAGAAGAGGGAGGGACTTACGCCAATTCGCAGCCACCTCAGCCACCCACCCGCCCACCCACCCAACCAAATAATTTGCTGCGCTCGAAAGAGGGCAAGTATCATGAAGCCCTCGGCTCCCAACGCCGATTCACACAGACCTGCAAGCCGCCACTAATGTACGTGACGTTCACAGGTCTCGTATCAACAAACAAACGGCCCATCTGCAGGGGCCTTGCATGGTTACGTGTTTTGCCAACGCCAGCAACGGAACCCACACTCGAAACCGTGTTCCTGACAAATCTGGGCGCTCGAATTCGCGCACATTACGGTCGCTATGTACACACAAGGGTGCCCAGTAGTTAGTGCCATTACTGTGTCAAGGCACCGCCGCCGTACCAAAGCACAGCGCGGCCATACCAAAGCCCTGCGGCTGTACCGCGGCGGTACGATGCGACGTTCCAAGGTCCAAGCGACCTGCCCCCAGCCGCGAGGGCCGGCGAGTCAACCGTTGACCGCCCGGTGACCGCTGGCGGCGTGACAATTTCGCCCGAGGCGGTGACGCCCGGCGGCCTCCCGAGCGTAACGCGATGGCCGGGGCGGATGGACGGGGAGCGGCGGGGCCGCAAGAAACCGGCCGCAAGCCGGCAAAATTGGCGGCAAGAGAATCATCGGCTGGAATCCAATGGCCGGGCATTGAACGGCGTTTGATCTTCGACCGGTCGACGGTCGATCGACACGGCCAGTCGGGCACAGCGCCCAGGGGCCGCGCACTGTCGGCCCCAGTGGGTCTCATCTTTCGCCCATGCCGGCGATCATATGCATCGCGGTCGCGGAAGGAGAAATGAAGGCGGAGGTGTCGGCCCGAGACCCTCGAGAGGGCGCCCGACGCCGCCTCCATGCAAACGAGTCCCGCCGGCGACGCCCCGACCGGCGGGGGCGAGGCGACGGATGGGTCATGTGCCCAAGTACTGGCCCAAAGTACAAGTCAGTACTTTAGCGGACGAACGATCGGTGCCGGGCATCATTGCGACCAGGGCATGGTGTGAGGGGGCGGGGCGGGGGCTGGGGGGCCCACGCCAACAGCCCCTTTCGCCTCCCCTCCCCCAACACACACATCTTCGCGCTCCGCCCGCTCCAACCACAGCGTGGCGCAACCCGTCCAAGCCACGACCAACTCGTTTCGGACGCAGACCCCCCGCGATCCTCTTCCCGTCGTACATGGCGCCACGCTCCTCGGATTCGCGTCCCTTCATGCCGCGCCAGGGCACCTCCCCCCCCTTCCCCCTGCGCCCCCTTCCAGCCACCTCAACACCTCCCCTCCCCTCCCCACTCCCTCGATTCCAAATCCCCAATCCTGAAACGCGCAACTCAGCCTCCCCCGCTCCCTCCACTGGGCGCGCCCAACCAGGTAGCCAGTACGCCCTCTTCCACAGCACAGCCCACCCCCCCCTTCCCGAGAATCACAGCCAAAACCACTTGGGGGCCGATTCTCCACCAATCCCCCCCCAGATCCCCCCCAGCCCACCTGCCACCGCCAAGGCGCACAGCGCCGCGGCGAGCGCAACGGGCCGTGGCATGGCCCCACCCGCCTCCGCCACGCCGAAGGCCTCGAGCGGCAGCCACCCCTCCGGAAACGGCAGTCCCGAGTGCCCCTTTCCTAAGGGCCTATCGCATGGATTGCCGCCCACAGGGCTTCTGGGCGGCCCGCTCGGGGTGCCGGGCGGTGGCCTGGGAACGGTTGCCAGGGGCTGGGGAAAGATTTGGGTCGGGATGACGGGTGCCGGTGGGGGAGCGGGTGGTTGATGGGACAGATGGCCCAGCGCCAAACTCCTGCGCGAAGGGGCCTGGGATCACAATGCTCAGGCGGCGGTGCGGGCGTACGTGCCGGCGGTCTGAGCGGGGGTGGTGGGGGCGCCTTACGCCATTCGGTGCCCGGGTGTGCTTTGGGCTGCACTGCGAGGGCGAGGGGTGCATGAGGTTGTGCGCGGGGCAGAATCTGGGGTGGTCCATGTGACGTGTACGAGGTTGAGTGAGCTGGGCGTGGTCATGCTGCAAGGGGGGGGGAGAGACTGTGTTAGTCCCTCTGTCTTTTCCGTGAAGATCTTTCTTCCGCCAACAAGGCCAACTCCGGTCAGTGGGTCCGTGGTTTGGGTCGGGGGTGGGGTGGGGTGGGGTGGGGGGGGGCGACGAAAGATTTGTGACAGGGAGAGAGAAAAACAACTCGTACAAATGGCGGAACCTCCCAAGCAAAGTGTGTGTGTGACTCTTCTTCCATGTAGCGAGGAGCTGAGGGGGAGTTGCCTGGACGCTCATCGGGCCAGTGCTGGAAGAGAGGGTACAGGCTGGTGAAGCGTGGACACGGGTTTTCATCCCAGCGGCTGCTTCATCTCCTTGCTGATGGAGTAGGTGTGTCCCTGATTGACCGCTGCCCACGCGCTAGCAAATGCCGTGCCAGTTACAAGGCACAGTTTGCACAGCCTGCGCTTCGCCTTTTCAACGGCCACGTGAGAATGGCAGCGTGGATACTGTCGTGTGGGCCCCTGTCCCTGTGGCATCCCTGGCAGGTTGTCCCGGACAACCTTGTCACTTCACAAGGAAATCCATTTCGCACTTTAGCGCCCGCGTGAGCTTCAACGAACTGTGCCTGCCCGCAAATTTGTCAACCACTCCAAGAAGCCCCTAGACTAGCTTGCGCGCTCGGGCACCCTTTGCCTCTGCGGCCAGCACAACGGGGGTTGCGACGTGCAATGTTGCAACGCTGCAGCAACATAGCATTTGTTAGCTTTGTGGTGTGCACAATTGACCAAACAGCCAGTTTGTTGTAAGCGCCCGAACTTCACCTTGCAGTTGCACTGGGAGTGACGGGTCACACTGTAACAATCGTAGTCTGTGGAGACTTCTGGATATCCAACGCTATAGGCAAGTTGTCCGTACTGGCATCCGAGCTCGACGTGCCAATGGGCGAGGAACACCGAGGTGGAAGCAATGCGCTGAGCAAACGTGCTGTTGCTGACTTGCCTTGCCAAGCCTGCAGCCTACATTCATCTGAATTCGAACTTGAAGCTTGGCCAGATCTGAATTCAAACTTGACAACTAGGCCAAGCGGTGGTCAAGTCCAGAGGAAAGGCGTCGGCCGCCGGCAAACTAACTCCAGACCCATGTGTGCAAATGCGCAATCCAATTCCTCGTTCCAATCTGCAAGAATGTGCCACACTTGTGCTCGATCAAACGTTCGGCCGTGCACGGACAACTGGCGCAGCCTTCAGTGGGGCGAACAGTCCATACGCAAGGATCCTCATGTTACAAAATTTCACATAGAAGAAACAGCGCTTTGGCCATAGCGCTGGCCAAAGCTGGCCTTTGTTTGCGTCAACGAACAGCTGTGCCGGTGGGGCGCGTGTGGCCGAAACTTATCGACCACCACCTTCAAAGGTGCCCAACTCCGGGCGACGGCAGCCCAAAGGGAGGCGGGGACCTCGCCAACCCCCCGCGAAATCCCATCGTTTATTTTGAGCCGCCTTCCGGGCACGGCCGCCCCCAGCCACTAATCACCACCTCAAACGCGTCTACTCTGCCGCCCATAAATTAATTTCGCTCCTAATTAGATGTAAATATGAAGCCCCGCAAGGGGGGTTTCTCATTCAGGCAAGTAGCCGTGCCGTGAGCACATTCGCACAGGCTCCACAGTCGCTGCTGCGTTTGGGGCACAGCAATCACCTCTGGGTCAGCACATGCTGGGGCAAAAGTGCGCATGCGCGCGACATGCGCTGACCCAACGCTTCCCTGGCAGTTGGCCGAACATCGCCCCCGCTGTCGCAATCGTTGCAAAATCTGGCGCAAGTCATTTCCCCTTGGCGCGTGCGGCTCACGCCATCCCAAGGATTCCTGCACCGGCATTCTGCTGCAATCGGGCTGGCAGCTCTCCAAGCCCACCCTCCCACTATCGCAACATCTGCCATCCGCTCCGCAATCGCGATCCCCACCAATTTCGGCGCAAGCGCTGCGCTCAACCACATCCAACAAATGCCATCCCACGAGGCCCAATTGCGACCGCCACATAACCTCTTCACACCCAATCCCCTTGGGCAGCCCCGCTCACTGCAGCAGCTCCTTCAGCCTGGCCTCCGTGCCGCTCTTGGTGCACAGCGTGGTGCAGATTACTTCCACAGGCGTCAGCCCTGCGCTGTTTTGCGCATCCAGGTCCGAACCACCTGCCACGAGGGCAGCCGCCACCTCCACGTTGCCCCACTCTGCCGCCAGGTGCAGAGGGGTGTCGCCCTTGAAGTCAACGGCGCGCACGTCCGCCCCTGCTTCTAGCAACACCTTCGAACACGAGCACACAATTGGGGCTGAGCATTGCATCCATGCCCATGCGTCTTTCCAGCTGCAAACTATTGTCGATCAGTTACTCAAGGACATGGATCAGGATGCTGTTGAAAACCGGCGACAAAAACACGCTTGAGGCGGCACGATAAAATCGCGAAGAGCTTTTCTTCAGTGTCAATGTGGTTTGTGCCACTAATACGGGCGAGCATGGGCAGGACTTGTGTGAAACGGGCGCGTCTCGTTGATTGTGTTCAGAATTTATCTAAAAATCTTTCATTATGGATAAAAAAACTCAACATAAAAAATCCTCTCTTTCCCACGTGCGACTTGGGCCATTTCTTGCCGGTGAGCACGCGAGCAAAACCCAAGGTGATCACCCAGAAAAAGGCGCTCAAAGGGGTGCACACAAACAGCCCTGTCATTTGCGGCAGAGACACGACCTGTATTTGCGCATTTTACCATTTTTCGTATGAATACCCAACACTTAGTATTCATGTATGCATACGTGTCACGCATGTCACGTACATATTCACTGAAAACAAGCTGTGTCCGCGCCGCAAATAACAGGCCCACGCACAGAGGAGCGCACCGCACCTCTGCGACACCCGCCGCATTGGAGATGGCGGCATCGTGCAGCGGCGTGTGGTCGAAGCTGTCAAGGGGGTCCAGTTCCGCGCCGGCCTCCACCAGCGCTGCCGCCACGCCCGCGTTGTCGAACATGGTGACCTCGTGCAGCGCCACGCCGCCGAAGTTGGCGCAGCAGGCGTTGGGGTCTGCGCCGCGGTCCAGGAGGTCGTCCACCTCCTGCAGCACGGTGGCGTTCTCCTCCTGGGCGGCCAGCTCCAGCAGGGCCTGTGCCGGAGGGGGGGCGGATTCAATGGAGCAATCGGAAGCCGATCTAAATAGGAGTCAGTTTGGATGGAGGTTAATTTCTACTCATGACAGATACTAATTTCTGTTTATGTAATTTCTATATATAACATTTAGATATGTTTGGATGTATTTAGATACATAATATCTGATTATATTAGATAGAAGTTAATTCCAATTTTTATTCAATTTCTATTGGATAGAAGTTAGTTTAGATAGAAGTCGGTTTCTGTTTATTCGTAGCTCAATGAAAGCCACAAATGTACAATTCATGAAGAAATATACAGTTAACATATAAATAACCGAGGAGTCGACATGTGAGATTTCCTGAATGAAGGTATGTCACTGAGGGCGTGGGGTGAATGTGGTGAATGGGGACGGGAGGTAATGAGGGTAAAGGGGCGGCGGCGAAGGGAGACGAGACATGAGGAAACACGGCGATATGGGAACACAAGATATCGTTTTGCCCTGGTTTTCCGCTCTTCTTTTCTTTGCTCCTTTTTTCCTGCTCATTGCACTTTCTGCACATGTGTTGTGTGCCCCTTGTGCTGCAAAGCCCCGCCAGCACATCCCTCAGGCCCTGCATGAGAGTGGCCTTCACCATCGCAAGACTTACTTTCTGAAAGTGGCACTGGCAAACGCAAGCAAATATTCGCATGAATGAACGAGGGCCCTAAAGAAAACACACCTTGTTGAGTCTTCTCTGCTGCTTCTTAGGCCGTCTGCCCTGTTCCCCATCCTGCAGGCAAACACAAATGCAAGTGCTCAGAGCAGCATCAGGGGCTGAAGGAATTGGCTTGGAATCAAGTCGATTGGATCACCCAAAACTTCCAAAACTCTATGTCAGACAAATGGGGATTGCCAAGAATGGGTACACCAACAATCTGAACCGTTTCAGGGCATGGGCCATTGTTGAGCCACAACCTCAGTAGCTTAGCGCAATTTAGTTTGCAAGGGCAACGTGCGAATTAGCAATACTACCCGTGCAAGACCCTTCCTCCCCAGGTACTGAAGAGCAGGAAAAGGGGAATGAAAAGAGGGGGGCCAGGCATGGCGAATGCAAAAACGGAATACAAGAACTGCAATCACTGCAGTTTGCATTGTACTTCTTCTGTTTGCTTGTTTGGCTGTGCTTAGCTCATTGTTCTCCTTTGTGTGTTCCTTTCACCGTTTTTGGTTTGTCGGAGGCACAAGAACAAAAAGAGCGAAAAAAGCATCCAACACATCAGAAGGGACCGCCGAGGAAGGCCACCTGCGACAGCAGCCGATGGAGTGCCTCCAGCGACTCGTCCGTGCACGCGCTGTCGCACAGCACGCCCGCCGGCGTCTTCCCCTCGCCGTTCTCCGCCTTCACGTCCGCGCCCGCCTTCACCAGCATCTC